CTTAAATAGTTAGCGTTCTCATTTGAACTCCTCTCTCTCTCTCTCTCTCTCTATATATATATATATATAAACAATAAATAGAAACAGGTTTTTTCATTGTAATCAATTTCTTTTAAACTACTATATAATAAAACAAAATTCTACACATAATTGACATAGATGTAATTTCGAAATTGTAGAGACAAAAAGTTTTATTTTCGACAAACCATGAGACTAAATTTGTGTTTACTTGTTTTTGTTATCAGAAGGTACTTAAAGGGACCCGTCTTGATCAAAACTGCAAATTAGTTTAATAATGGACTAAAATTGATAGTAAGTGACAATCATAACGATCAAAAATATAAAAATGTCCTAAAAAACTTGTTAAAAATTAAACCTAAAAAACGTTCTATAAACCTATTATAACACTTTTAAGATTTGACGATTTATAGTATAGTCCTATAAGCTTAATATGCTATTAAGACGGTTAAACATTTTAACCATCCTTTAAATTCAGTATCGTTGTATCGTTTGTAGCACATGATCAAGAAACGCAAACAGTATCCATTTGCTATGAATTGTGATAAATTCACGATACCCTTGATCAGGGGCGGATTTAAGAAGGCTATAGTGGGTACCAGTGCAACCATAATTTTTTTAAAATATAACGGAATTTTGTTGTAAAGTCGTTAAGACTGCTACAATTTTATGGTGGTGAATGTAGCGCTGCCCTCGATACCAACAACTGAAAATGAAACGCAATTTGCTTTTATTTGAAATTTGTTTTGGTGGGAATATTAATAGTAATATTACATGTAGTGGATGCTGGATTGATGCAATGGGTGGGTGGGTGGGTGGGTCTACACACACAAACACATTCAATTACACCCACAAATATATATTTATATATATACATATATATACATACAAACACATTCAGTTACACCCACAAATATATATAGAGAGAGACTTGGGATCATGTGAGACCAATGGTTTTTCGTGAGACCCGTAAGATCAATTCTCAACCCTTAGATTAGATCTACAATCTGAAAATCTAAACATTCATAAACGCCACGAGACTTCTCAATAATCACAAAATTGTCATTATGCAATTTAGACTATTAGATCGTTAACTTATAAAGTTGATCAATGAACATAAATTGGTGTTACGGGTCTCACGAAAAACTTTTGGTCTCACGTGAACCCAACCCCTATATATATATATATATATATATATATATAATTATTCAAGAGAGTATTGATTTGTTTGTGGTAATCGTAAGATTTAATGTAAACCATTTGTTTGAGATATTTAAGGATTATTCTTAAATAAGCTAAAAGGGTAATATAGTAAATCTATTTTTGATAACTAATCAAAATATTTGATTAAACTTTTTAGAATGAAATATTGAATTAAAATTAGTTACCTAGTATATCAATTACCTAATATACAAAGTGTATCATAGTGATAATGTTCAAAATGTTTCACGTGTATCACAATGTATTTTCTTTGTTTTATGAAATGTATCATAGTGTGCATTTTCGTTATTTTCATTACTTTACAAAGGGTATCACATTTTGCATCTTGTATGTATATATGGGTATCACAATGAACATCGTTTGTAGGTATCACAGTGTATATCTTGTGTTCACATAAGGATCATTGGATTAAGGTTCGTCGAATAAGATTCACCGAAGAGAGGAAAGATGAGAGATGAGAAATGATATTTATAAAATCACTAAAATGCCCTTAATTAATATTTTAAGTTAAAATTACCAAAATTATTAATTTTCTAATTTAACATTAATTTGTGCTTCAGATTGGATCACACGATTACCACAAACAAAACAGTTCTCATTTGATTAGGCTCGTATAAATATATATAGGGTTGGGTTCACGTGAGACAAATCTGTTTTCGTAAGAAAAATTCGTTTTCATGAGACGTGAAACACGATTTTTATACTTGAAACTTCACAACAAAATCTTGTGAAAAAAAAACCTGAATCTTCACAGCAAAAACACTGTGAAGTTTCAAGTGTAAAAATCGTGTCTCACAAAAACAGTTTTGTCTCACATGATTCCAAGTCTATATGTGTGTACATATATATATATATATATATGTATATATATATGTATATATTCTGATTGTATTTGTAACATTTGTTTACACAAAGAGACCATTGTTGGTATGATTATTATATATATAACATCCAAGTCTAACAACACCCGTGTACATAAATATAGATTATACATGACAACTAATTTGTCATCATTTAACAACTTTTATCAGACACGAATAATTTCATAGTTAATTACGTACGTATGTCGAATAAACTTAAGCATATAATCATATATATCAAGAATCGGAATCGTGTGCATTTTGGTATTATTAAAACAGATTATGTTAGGTATGTGTTTGGTATTGATGCCAAAACCAAAAAGCTTAAATTCAAATCTATTTCTTTTGTCTTTGCTTTTGGTTTTGGTTTTGGTTTTGGTTTTTGTTACCCAACAACTAAAGCTAAAGAACCCTTCTTCTTCTTTGTTCCTTTTCCTTCTTTTTCTCTTTTCTAGAATATCACCTATTTTGTAGGTAGTCTGGAGTCACCACATTTGAACCTCTGTGGCCATAAAAAGATTTTTATTTCTCTTTGGATTTGAATCTGTAACATCCAGTCATTTTTGACCTTTGGAGCTTAAGCTTAAACCAATCAGACACCATGCTTGTGGTTGAAAAAAATAGAATTTGATTGTCAAAGTATGGTTGAAAGATGATGGTTTTCAAAGGGTATGGAGAAACACAGTCTTTCTTGTGATGGGTCCCATTCTTCTTCTTCTTCTTATGTTTGTTTATGTTTGTCCTTGGAATCATTAATATACCAATCTCTTAACACTCAATGTTACCTTGATCATTTAAATCTAAGAATGGTCTTTACAATTTTTTATTAAATACAAAATTCTCAAAAAAATCCAATATTTATTTGTTATTTTTAAACAAATAAATATTTGAATTTTCTGAATTCAATTCAGTTAATGAACCACAAGGGTGGTGTCTGATTGGTTTGAGCTTGTGCCTCAAAGGTCAAAAGTGTCTAGAGGTCCCAGTTCAAATCCAAGAAAGAATAAAAACCCCATTGTGGCATTTAAATGCGGTGACTCCAGGCTACCCGTAAAGCAGGTGGTCGCCCTGGGATTAGTCGCTAACATAGTAGGTTGGATATCCATGTTAATAAAAAAAATAGATCATTTGAATTAGTCATTTTCAAACATATATAAATGCATACAAAGATTGTGTCTATCTCTTTACTGTTTAAGTGGTTTCGTTACTCTTTATCTGAACTAATTGTAACCTTTTTTGTTATCAGTAAATTATGATGTTAACGTTACGAGTGTCACACAAATCTACTGCTCCTTAGAAAGATATCTCATGAATCGTTAAGGTTTGTCAAACTAGTTAGCTATCTGGTAATAAGTTAGTTGTTAGTTGATAAATTTGTCATGTTTGATAAAAACCAGTAGATAAATAAGGTGACGATGTAATATAGCCTAAAAAAATGTTGAAAATTTAATTGAGAAATTTATAAGGAACATACCCGAAAAGAGAAATTCGAAAAGTATTAAAATATTATTTAAAATAACTTTTCAAAAACAAACTTATAACTATAAAATAGCTAGACGTTTTCAATTAACCAACATATAACTTTTATGTATAAAATGTAACGTTTTCGTCCAACAAAGCTAGATGAATCTACTCAAATTAAACGTGTTTTTATTATAGTAACTAAGAAGAGAATTGAATTCATCATGGTTAGATCTATAAGGTTGGGTTCTTGTGAGAATGAAAGTTATGATCAGAAGTGTAAGAAGATATCTCCACTCTTGAATTAATCCTAATTGAATGTCAACACTAACGAGGTGCACCGACACTCACCAGATCAATTCCTTACTAAAACGCAATTCATAGGTGGACATGAGATTAAAAGTGATCAAGGGTTCAGATCTATTCTTACGCTTCTCACCATAATTTCTCTTCTCACACGAGCTTTCGCCAAGACCTGTAATCCTAGATGCCAATAAAGGAATGCATAGAAACCAGTTTTTACCAAAATAGTCATTTCTTTCGTATAAATTAGTCTTCCAATCATTCATCTCCATAATTTACCCAAATATCACTAGGTCCACAAGTCCCACTTCCACTTGCAGACCCAGCTAAAAAACCAAAAAAAATTATCAGATTCGACCCAGGTCTATAATCTGCTAATTTTTTTTGTCTCTTAGCTAGGTCCGTAACGGCGGACGTGAAACTTGCAAAGGTAGTAATATTTTGATAAACTAGAATGATACTCGCACAATACAGCGAGATACATCTTGATTTTAATATTTTATTTTATTCTTTATCTCAGTCGATGTTGTAATATAGTTTTATGTGATTTTGAAAAAACGATGATGTTTTTATTTTTTAATAAAATTATAAACTTGAAGATATCATAAAAATTTGACAAAAATATATCGATATTAATATCAAATTAACTATTTAAAATTCCTCATTTTTTGTGTAATTTTTAATTCAACTTTTTTTATTATAAGTTCAATAACGAAGTAATTTATATTTGATTTAATAATATAATTTTGTTATAAAGATAATAAATAATTATTTTGTTAGAACTCGATGATTATCCTAATTATATTTTAGATTTTATATATTTTAAAATGATATGTTTATCCTCTATTTTATTATGTTTATCCGTGGTTAGTTACACAAATTCAAACATGAAACTTTAATAAGTTGTGTTTGTGCATAATTTACTTGTAATATTGAATTATGCATCAATATACGGTAATTCATATATAAAAAATAGTTTTTAAGAATTTTTGTCAAATGTTTTATAATATCGTATAGATAAGAAAGATAAATGACTAGAAAACCAATTTTAATGTATTTTAAGTCGGATGGAAATTCGAGGCCGACCAATAAAATAAGCGGAGCTTAAAAAGAAGAATAAAGGGAAAGAGGATCACAACAATCACACACCCTATGGCTCATGCTATGCTATGTGTCTTGTGTTTTCCTTTTTTATAAAAGCAATAAATGGAAGGTGGAACAGGACAATGAGGAGCACAAACCTACTGTCCATCTCCAGATAACAAACCATCCCTACCAAATACCACAATGCAATTGATTTAAGATATAGACTAGAGTTTCAGGCTCAATTGGTTGGTAAAAAAATGGGGGGTGGAGCAGCAGGAGGAGGAGGAGGATCCAATAAACTCAAGACTGCAGCTCGTAAATTGCTTCATACATGCGGCTCCTTCTCTTTCGGCCAAATCCATCTCGACCCACCTCCTGTTCTCCCTTCGTCAACTGTAAGTACTCATACTCCATACCTGAGCTTCGATGAAGGTGTTTTTGTATCTGTGATTTACTTTCTTTTCCACACGAATTTAAGTTTGGTATTTGCTAATCTTTCGGCTTGTTTCTTGAATTACAAGATGATTAAACAGATATGTTGTTGATACAGGTAGTAGTAACATCAGGTTCGACTAATAATTCTCCGAAACCTAGCAAGGTTAAACCAGAGATTAATATGACCGAAATGGCTCCCAACGCAGATCTAACCACCTCATCTTCCAAGGTAATCTTCATTATATATCATCATCTTTCAATGTAGGCTAGCCAATGAAGGAGATTATATTCACCTCTAAATTTGTTAATCTCCGTCAGAAAGTATGATTATGCTATGTACTAATTAAGCACATTAACTTCTTTGTGTACTTTCCAAAAGTATGTCCTAAGTGAGGTTAAAGGAGGATGGTTGCAGTAGAGTTCCTCTGACTACAAATTACTGAATTAGTATTTGGGAGTTCAAAATTGCAAAAGAAATGAAGCTTATTTGGTTCAAATTGTAACCTGATTTTGGTCCAATTCAGATATCAGTCAGTCTAATGGGAATTCCTATTTTCCAATCATACACCAATGGGCTAACATATAAACCATAGATGAATAATTTGTTATTCTAGTTGGTGAACTGACTCAATAGTACCTTATTCAATTTTTGTACTAAGTTTTCAGTTTCATTAACCTTTTCAATTATGATATGCCATGATTCCAATTCTTGCTTGAAAGTGGATGAATACTGACAAAGTTCTAGCTTATAAAGATTACATTCTTACTTCATTGTAGGAACATCATACTTGTAAACCATTTAAACCACATGTGATTTATGAGGAGATTATAAATATGTTATTGATGTTGATTAGAGCAAGGGGAATGTGTCCGTTTTAGCTTATAATCATTGTTTTGGTTCAGTGAAAGCGTGTATGTAGAAGTGGTTCTTTGTTTGTTATGAACTTAATATTTTAGGTAAGTTGAATACTTGAATCATGTTGGAGATTTACCTCCCTTCTTGACACAAGAAATGTGTATACTTGCATTAAGAAACATGAACTTGTCCCATTGCTCCCAACTTACTATTGCCTTCAAGGGTGGTGCCCGATTGGTTTGAGCTTGGGCTCCAAAGGTCGAAAGTGCCTGGAGGTCCCAGGTTTGAATCCAAGGAGGAATAAAAATCCCCTTGTGGCCACAGAGGTTCAAATGCGGTGACTCCGGGCTACCCGCGAAGCTGGTGGTCGTCCTGGGATTAGTCGGCTCGCATGGCGGGTTGGATATCAAGGTTAATCAAAAAAAAAACTTTGACATGCATATATCTTCTTGCAAACATTTAGGTCCCTTTTTTGTTTGGGGGATTTGGTAGGATTCTGAGGGATTTGAAATGGAATTCCATTCCAATCCTATGTTTGGTTTGCAGGAATGCTTGGATTTGAAATCCCACAAACATGGGATTTAGAAATCCCATGGGTAGTTGGTATTTTGCGGGATTTCATTGGACTTGTTTGTAATAATGTTTTAAAATGTTATAAAAACACTTGTTTTGCAATAATCAATTAATAAAAAGGTAATTTAGTTATTTTTGTGAATTATTTATCGAGAATGGTATTGAATTTCATTCCAAATCTTGCAAACAAAACACACCAAAGACTGCAAATCCTCCCAATTCCAAATTCTTCCATGAAATCCAAATCCCTCAAAAACATTATGTCAAACCAAATGGGCAATATACAACCTTCCTTATATGTTTGACAGTATGTTCTCAAACTGCCACAATTCATTTTTTTTAATTATATACTTCAAAGAGTTTGAAGATAGGAATGTGTCTATGAACAAAGTTAAAAATCTTTGAAAAAAATATCTCCAAGAGGGTGTTTTTCTTTTTTGTTATCTACAATTGGTTTTAAGTAGTTTTATCTAAAAATAATGAATCCCCAAGGTATATGCACTATTCATAGAAAGATACCTTCACATACCTTGTATTGATAGGTGAACATGACTGTGAATTTATATGTAAAAACTTGCTTTTTAGTCGTTTAATGTGATAATACATTAGGATTTTTGATACATAAAACTTGTTTTGTTTCTTTAATTTGATAAGTTTGTGTTACTGCACTGCCTGGGTAGTATTACATCATTAAAACCAACGGCAAATGTGAATGCTTTTTATCCTCAGTGTCTGATTAAGATGTACCTCAAGTGCTTCTAGAAGATCCTATACTCGATGCACATGTCAATTCTTTCAGTTCATTTTCACTTTCTAATAAAAATTATACAAAACAAGACTAAAACATCAAAGCCTCGCCAGATTACTATACCAGTGCAAACTTGTGTGGTCTTTTTTAACTTGTCTGCAACATAGATATGGTCATAGGTCTCTTTTCCACCTGGCCCTGCTTGCTTATTCATGATGGAAATGGGCAAGCAATCCTGTCTGCGAAAAGGAACAGAAAATTTGAGTTATTGAGTACCATATCCAACCGTTGCCAGACGAACGAGTCTTGTTGCATCAGACTCACCCTTCTTTTACAGGTCACAGTTGATATAGTCGTATGGATTTCTCCTTGATATCTTGTCATTTTAGTAGGAAATGTTATCAGGCTATGGTTTTTGCATAATCACATGCATGTGTGAAAATTGGCATTTTCATTATCCCCTTGCCCCCTTGAAACCTGCTCATTGTTCACTTCAAGAGGGATTTCATACTTGTACATGAATGACTCTGTCATTTTTCCCTTACTGTGTCATTTAATTCAAATTATGGTGGAAACCATGCCATGTTGTTAAGGCTCTTTGAGAATAGTTATTGGTTTGTCGGAAACTTTGATAACTTACCACAGAAGGTTGAACTAGTTTATTATGCTAAACAACAAACGAAGAATGAAAAAGGAGCATGCTAAATCCATGCCCTCCATTCCTTTTCATTTCTATCAACGCTCATTTTGTCTACACAGTAGTGGCAACTAGTATGGCCTATGTAGGTTCCATATTCAGGATGACCCTCTTAATGGTTCTCTAGGAAGTTCAATGTCTCCTAGAGAACTACTTACATAAAAGGAGATAATAGATCCCCTAAGGAGACACTAGTTGCATTTATCCACAGTAGTGGCAATCAACACCATTAGTTTTCATGCCTGCCATACTTGGGGGATGTTTGGTTGTTTTCCCATTAAACCTGTAAGGATTAAGCTAAATTATTGATTGTATATTGTGCTGAATAAACTGTCTAAATGACAGAAATGACCATTTTACTCTTACTGTTCATTTATTTCATCAATCCCAAGACCCTACGTCCTGATGGGTTATACTTGATTTTATCTGCTCAAGTATTTTGAGAAATTTACAGCTGTTCTTTCTTTTAAATGCAGACCATGTGTGCTATATGTCTGGAAGCTCTGAACTACAGCACATGCACTAGTCCAGGCCAGGCTATATTTACAGCTCAATGCTCTCATGCCTTCCATTTCGATTGTATCGCCTCCAATGTCCGCCATGGAGGAGTCACCTGTCCCATTTGCCGTGCACAATGGACTCACCTGCCTCGTAACTTGAAGATCCCACCTTGCAGTTTCCTTTATGGCAACCAAACCGATGATCCCATCCTCCAAATCCTTGATGACTCCATTGCCACGTTCCGAGTTCACAGACGTTCAATCTTACGTTCAGCACGCTATGATGACGATGATCCCATTGAACCCACTCACAGTATCGATCATCCACGCCTTCATCTCTCCATTTTATCTGAACCACTCTCTCATCCAACCTTCAATCCCTGTTTGCATCAAACAGGCTCTGCAATATGCCATCTTTGCAGATCTTCATCTCAACATCGTCTGAATACTTCCTCTTCATTATCACCGGAACCCGCTTACAGAGCCTCTCTTTGTGTGAGACTAGCACATCAACCGGCTATCGATTTGGTATTAGTCGCTTGCCCCAATGGCCCTCATCTTAGGCTTATAAAACAGTCTATGGCATTGGTGGTTTTTTCACTTAGACCTATCGACCGATTGGCTGTTGTCACCTACTCGTCTGCAGCAGCACGCGTCTTCCCTCTCAGACGAATGACATCATATGGCAAACGAGCAGCATTACAAGTTATTGATCGACTGTTTTATATGGGGCAAGCCGATCCAGTTGAGGGGCTAAAGAAAGGGGTAAAGGTATTGGGGGACCGTGCTTACGAAAACCCCCAATCATGCATTCTACACCTCTCAGACAACCCAACAAGATCATACCATGGGTTTGACACGGAAGTGGCCATTCAGATCCATCGTTTTCACGTGGGCTGTAGCTTTGGGACTTCCAACGGGTTTGTGATGCATGAATTTGAGGAGTTTTTGGGTAGAGTACTCGGAGATAAAATAAAAGACATTAAGTTGAGGATCAGAGAAGATGGTAGGATCGTGAGACTTGGCGAACTTAGAGGAGGGGAGGAGAGGAGAATCCCGTTAAACGTAAGCGAAAGTGGGAATGTTTGGGTGGAGTATAGCTATATCGAGGATGGAATGAGCGAATACATACGAACAGGGGAAGTGATGGTGGGATCGGGGGAAAAAAGGGAAACGAGTGATGATGGTGGTGGCGGGAGTGAAGATGGTAGGAACAGCAATGCTGGGAGCTGGGATTACCATGATCCCTATATGGCTAGAAGATGGGCTAAGCATCTGCATGGGTACAGACTCTGAAAACTCGGCTGAATATACTGGGTTTGTTTGGTTTGATTACAAGTAGTCTGCAATTGAATTTTGTTAACTGTTCCTTCGGATGTGTAGGTAGAGTTGTTCATTTGTGTATCTTTTTCCTTCTTTCCCTTTAACAGAAACATTAAGCTGTGAACACTCAGACAGACATTTTCCTTGTAAACAAGGGAAAAAGAAAACCACAGCTTTATCCTCAAACCCTTGTGTGATTTCCATTCACTTCTTTTGTTCATGATACTTGGTTATACATATCCTCTATACCTTTTTCCATATGTTTTCAGCTTAATGGGTGTATACATTTTGAGGCCTCATACTTTTGTTGGATAAAGTCTCATACTATATGATAACTGGTTGAAGCATTAACGGGTTATCATGTTGATGTAACGACTGATGTCGTATCTAACTCAGTATTATTTGTTGAAACATTAACCGGATACCACATCAGCATGGTAACCGGTTAATGCTTCAACCAGTTACCCGGGTACTTAAATGTTAAAAACTTTACATCTTAGGTACCAAAATGGAAATTTTGAAAGTACGTTATCCAAAATAGGAATCAAATTAAAATACGTTACTTTTTCATGTAATTTGCCCTATTGGTTTAGTTTGTGCACAATACATTTCTCTAATCCTACTTTCTGAGTAAAATATTTTAAGTTGGTTTAATTGGGTTATACATAAAGCACTTCTTTTTGGTGGAAGCTTGCTAATTGAGTATAAACATTTTAAGAGTGAACAATTACATGCTTTAATTTCATAAAGAGTAGTGTCACATAATTAAATAAAAATTTCTTAAATAATGGTTAAACTAAAAACATGTAACTCGTCTCACACCGGGTTACGTTATATAAATGTCCAAGTGTAAATATTGAACTTAAATAAACATGGCAATTCTCTTAACGTGCCTCTTGCCCTTATCCAAAATCGAACTCCCTCGTCCTGTTATGTATAATATAATCAACTTTATAAAGCTCAGTAAGTCATAGTTTGCGTGAATAAAATCATTTATTGTTAATAGTATGCATTTTCTTAGAAAAAATAGATCTCATCTAAGTATCATAAGAAGTTAATGAGGGAATTATGTTAATGAATTAGTTATGATAACCTTGAAACCGGCACGTTTCCTTTATCTTGAGCAATTATTGGATTTGAAGCTGGTTGAAGAGCCATCGACATATAAAATCTCTTTTTTCTAAAGTCTTTTGTCTTCTTTTGAATAATAATTGAATTCTCTTGACTTTAACGTCTCTTCAAAACTTTAACGTCTCTTCTTTTGAATAAAATAATCTTCTTATGTCTTTTTCTTCAATAATGAACTTATCTTTAATAATGAACAACCTGCAATTATTTTGATAAGATAATAGTTTTGAACAAGATGTTATCTGAAATACCAAAGAGCGTATTTCACATGCTTTGATAAGATGTATTTTGATGAGATACAAAGAATTTGCTTGCAAAAGCAATGACCCCAAAACACACACACACAACCCTTTGAAGATTAAAAATCTTCATAGGGATCTTGACTATCTTGATATAGACTTTGAGAAACTTGAGACATGGTATTTGAACTTGAAGGAGAGCTACTTGAATGAGAGTTTCCTCGTTTAATCTCTTGAATAAGTCTTTTTAGTTCTTCTTTTGAATCAGCGGCCAAAAATTGATTAATTTTTTCATCTTCTTTGTTCTGGCTTGATGCTGATGAAATAGAAGCTCGAGCACCAAAAGTGATTGAATAATAATCAAGAACTCCTTGAATAGTCATCTTCTGCATTTGATCATTAGGAAGTTTTTCCCACCATTTTACTCTAGTGATTCTTTGTAATAATGGAGGGGAAGAACCATTTGCATCAACGACCTTAAAGGTCCATGACAAAATCCATGGTATTTTGAATAATATTGTAAATTGGAGAAGATATTCAAACTCTGTAATTTCTTGAACAAAGATTTCTTTGAACTTTTTGAATCCTTCATTTACCCTTGGAGGAAGGGTTTGTGGGATATTTCCCATAAACTTGAACCATCTGACAAACCATCTTGGGTAATTGCAGTCAAATTTTTTGTCAAAATACAAAAACCAAAAATGGGTGTAACTTCTTAGGTATAAAAAATTATACCAAGCATCTTGATAATCATAATAATCATAAGAGGGGTTTTGACTAAAATTTGATAAGGGTTTGCTGACATAGAGTGGGGATCCCCAATCTTGATTAGAGAGGACACGAAGAATTTGAACCTTACTAAAATCTATTTGAGAATAGTTGGTTTGATTTGAGCGATGAATCCTAATAGATTTAGAGTCTATCAGAATTGCTTCATAATACTCTCTAGATTTGAAAGAATCGCTAATGAATAAAGAACCTTTTTGAAAAAGATAGTCATTGAGTACTTGAAATCCTTTGCTTTGAAGATAAATTTCATAATCTTCAAGGATTTTAACTGTTTGGCTATAGGGGTTGAGTAAATAAGAACTTGAATCGAATTTTGAAGGAGTAGAAGGCCTTAATGGACTGTTTTGAGCGAAAGGTGATCTTTGAACAGTTTTTGGAGGAGTAGTAGCGATGGATTTATTTCAAGCAGAATTTGATGGTGTTGGAAGAGTACTATTCGGACTTTGAATCAGAGACGAATAGTATGGACGAAGTGATGTTTGAGAAAAGGGAGAAAATCTATTTTGAGTAGAAATGAGAATTATGGAATGATTACTTTGAGTAGATTTGAATGGAGAAAGAGTCTTTTTCTTTTGATCAGGAGACGGAGTCTTTTGAGAAGTCATCTTCCCTATAAAAACTCTCTTGATAAGAAATCTGGTAAAGAATTATATTTTCCTTTGATAAAATCTATTTGAAAATCAAAATTTCCTAGCAAGGCTTGCCATCTTGCAAAAATTTGTTTTAAAATCATATTTTTGATGTCATTTTCTAAAATTGGTTTTGCAGACTGACAATTGATTCTTAACGAAAAAGGTTTCATGTATAAATCATCTTCAAACTTCTTTATACATAAAACAATGCTTAAAATTTCTTTTTTGGCTGTTGAATAGTTCTTTTGGGTGTCGTTCCAAGCACCTGAAAATGATCTTACTAATTCTTTTTTAATTTGATCAGTTGATTTTTGTTTGAGTATTCATCCAAATCCTATGTCACTTGCATCGGTTTCAACTATTAATTGAGCATTAGGGTTAGGAATATGGAGACATGGTAAATATTTTACCTTTTGTTTTATATGTTGAACAATTTGAGTATGTTTTTGAGTCCATGGTTCAAGATTTTTCTTGAGTCTTTGATAAAGTGGTTTACAGATTATTCCTAAATCTTTGAAATAATCATGAACATAATTTAAACATCCTAAAAATCTTTGTAATTGGGTTTTGTCTTTGATTTCAACTGAAAATTTATTAGCAAACTCTAAACTTCTTTGAATAGGTTTTATAGTTTTATGAACAATTTCATGACTTAAAAACTTTATTTGAGTTTGAAAAAGACTCAGTTTTGAAGCAGAGACAACTAAACCATTTCTATGAATTAGATTATAAAATAAATATAGATATTTGAAATGTTGATCAATAGATTTTGAAAAGATTAAAACATCATCAATGTAAACAATTGCAAAGTCGCTTAAAGGGTTTATAATATCATTCATAATATTTTGAAAGTCTGAGGGAGCATTTTTGAGTCCAAAGGGCATAACATTCCATTCGTAATGACCAAAAGGGACATTAAAACCAGTTTTATATTTGTCTTTTTCATAAATTTGGATTTGCCAAAATCCAGATTTCATGTCAAATTTTGAAAAGATTTATGTTTCATGCAATTTTTTGAGTAAATCTCTTTTATGTGGAATAGGTTATCTAATCCATTCTAAAACTTTGTTTAGAGGTTTGTAATTGATTACAAATCGAAGAGAACCTCTTTCTAATTCTACAGCATTCATAACATAGAATGTCGAGCATGACCAAGGGGACTTGGAAGGTCTTATAAGTTTCTTTTGAAGTAAATCTTGAATTTCTGTTTTACAATGTTCTTGTATTCAGAAGACATATGAATAGATCTTGATCAAGAAGGGATATTTTTCTCATCAAAGTCTTTAATATATGGTAATTTGACTATATGTTGTTTTCGGTTCCAAAAGGCATTCGGAATATTTGAATAAACATTATTTTCAAATTTTTCTTTCATTCTTTGTACTTTATTTTGAATGAATGAACTTGATAAATTCTTAGAAATTCTTAAACTACTTATTTCATCATTTAAGAATTTTACTTGATTTTTATTATTTAAATTATTTAATTCATTATAAACAATTGGACTAGCAAATTTGAAAAATATTTTTTTATCTAAAACTTTGGTAACTAAACCATCTTGATTGATTGAGAATGGTTATAATTGAATAATAAATATAGTACCTAGGATCAAAGTAGATGTTAGATTTTTTACAAGTATTAAAGAAGTTTTATAACAATAATTATTATTACATATATGAACATTTGAAACTTTATATTGAATATTGAGTGATGAACCACTTGCGGTTGATAAACGATTTTTTGTTTTTTCATAATATTTTGTAGGTATAATTTCTTCTTGAATACAATTTATATCTGCACCACTATCAATTAGTGCTAGAACAGTTACTTTGAATTCATTATTAATACAGAGGTTAATGTAAACATTCCATTTTTGAGAAGTTATTCCTTTTGAAGGATTTATAGGATTAATTAATTTATTTTTTATTTGAGTAATCGTTTGATTATATGTCTGTTCAATAGGTTCTTTGTCTTTTTCAACATTAGATAACCTATATTTTATTAGTTTTATTTCGGTCTTAACAATTTTTAATTCTTCTTTTAAATCTTCAATGGTTATTGGAATAGTTGATTTTGTAAATCTTGAATAAACTTCTTGTAGATTAAAAGGTTGAGTATAAATTATTGGTTCCTTTTGTTTATTGAAAAATTTATTAGTTATTTGAACTTTGACTTCTTTATCTTGAATTTTATCTAAGAGTTCTAAAATTTATCTTTCTTCATTTGTAATTACATTTATTTGATTACAAGTGCATTTTCCTATACACTCACAACTCGACTCAGATTCTTCAGATGAAGAATAATCTTGAACAATATTGAGATCTTTATGATCATAGTCTGAGATGTTTGATTCACCATCAGAACTATCATTATTAAGAATTAATCTATTGATTTGAGCTTTTAATTGATCAGAAATATCTAATTCATTAATTCTTTTCTTAACATAG